GTGTGTGTGTGTGTGTGTGTGTGTGTGTGTGTGTGTGTGTGTGTGTGTGTGTGTGTGTACATCCGGGTGTTCAAAACAAAGCGTTACAAATTTTTATCTCGGAAACACATTATTGAGAAAAATTGTTCAGACAAAAGTTGTAGGTTTCAAAAAGATCTATTTACCGATTTTATCAGTTTGACTTTTGGATCGTTAAAACTAGATCAAGGTCACGTCGATTTTTTAAAACATCCTACTTTTGATTCTAGAATCTAATTGCCGATATCGAGAGGTTCCAAAACATTATAATAAAGTTACTTTTCGAGTACTTTTCGAGTTATGATACTTGAAAGTTAATACCACCGGCATTAGCATTACTCAAGATGGATCTGATCTCTTGAATGTTGTTCAGGATCCTGTCCTGGATATAATTTATCATGATCAAAATCATTGAAGATTATTTCTCCTATTTTCATTTTTGCACTAAAAATTCATTCTTGTTTTAATCATCTTTTCTTTGAAGAGGATTATGATTCCTGAATAATATATTTATTGAATGGCTAAAATTATTTTATATTATTGTGTAAGATAGTTTAACCTAAAAAAATAAAACTACATATTATATTATCAATGAGCAATTATATACATACATAATAGTTGATGCATTATTGCAAGGAATTCATTGGACGTAAAGATTTAGAAAAATTCTAGTAACTTCTTTTTTTGAAGTTCTCACAATGATTGAACACTTTCTTCAATCATATTGCATTTTTTATATTCCTTTAAAATACATGTGTGGAAATCGAAAAATTAAAATTTGGTTTGAAAACAAAATAAAATAAAATTTAACTGAAAAAATAAAATATCTGTTTTATTGTACTTATCCATTATTTGATATAAAATTTATATGGAGAATACTTTATATTCAATAAAAAAATAAATTTTTTCTTTTCATCATGAAAGATTATGAAAAGGAAATTAAGATTATAATTAAAAATGACCAAAACTGGTATTCAATCAATTTATGGCTTATATGAAAATTTAGAGAAATTCTGATTTTCCCTGAAAAATAATGATTCACCATATCTTCAATAATTCAACACATTCATTCAGTACATAGGTTCCTTTTTTACATGATTCTACATTCTGAATAACTACATACTAAGTAAAAAAACACTATATAAGGCAAATTGGAGGCGGCTAAATGAAAAGGTAAGAAAAATAAAATTGTATTCATCAATAAAATATATATTTGCGATAAATAGATAAATCGTTATTCGAAGAACTCATCAATCATTAGCAAGCAAAATTTTATTAATATTTTTCATCCATTATTTGCGAGAGAATCCCGTTTGCCTATAAATCGATTGCCTACAGCATCGTTTGCCTGTATCACTTTTGCCAACAATTCGTTTGCGCAAAAATTATTGCCTACAGTTCGATTGCCTCGGTATATTATTGTCTACATGTATTATTCTCTGCTATAAAAATACAAATTGTTTTAAAACATAAATTTTCTGTTTTAAAAACATCAATTCTCTGTTTTAAAATAAATTCTCTGCTTCAAAAATACATATTTTCTTACTTAACCTTCATTTTATATTTGTGCAAAACAGCTTGTAGGCAACTGAGCTGTAGGCAATAATTAATGTAGGTAAATGTGACTTCGTTTTTGAAATTTTTACTTATGCGTAAAAGTGCATGTAGGCAATTGAGTTGTAAGTAATAATTTTTGTGTGCAAACGAACTGTCGGCAAAAGCGATGTAGGCAAACTTTATTGTAGACAAAAGGAGCCATCTCGTCACTTGCTATTCACAAATTTATTTAACTTTTTTTTTTTAGAACAATTATTTGGCCGGTATTTATAGACAGTTCTTATATTCAAGATCGTCTTAAGTTCTGTCTTGAGGTGTCACAAACCAATCAGAAAACCGTATTAGTATATTAGGATATTATTTAAGACGATTTTGAAATAAGAACCAACTATGAATACTGCTAACATGTTTAAGAGCTGATAGTAAAAAAAAATTTTAAATAACTTTTTTTTAAATAACTCTTATAAAAATAGCATAGGAATAAAAATTGTTCTAAGATTTTAGTGACACATCTCTTTTTCAGAAGTTGATAATAAATAATATATATTTAGCAATACCTATCTATTATTAATCAAATATAAATGCAATATTTTTATATAAAAGTACTTTCAGTAATGCAATAATAATTTAAGAGATTTACAAGTTTTTAATTCATCGATTGATAAATCATCCTATTATGCCCTATTTTTATAAGAGTTACATTTGTGCATAATACGATTTATTAATTAATAAATTGAAAAAGTTGCCCATTTTTAAATATTCATGACAAATGACAAAATGGAAACAGCGTAAACCAGTTTTATATTTCTTAATTGCTTTCTATCGTCTCAAATTAACTTATTTTGTATCCCCTAATTATTTCCTATGTTGTATCAAAATATGTTTCTCATTTAACAATGATTTATAGTAAAGTAAATAACAAATTTTACATAATAAAAAAGACTGTCGTTGTGATTTTTGTCTGTTATAATTATGAAATACAAAGGTGATATTTTTTTAATTTACATACAATATTATCTGTATAATAGTAATTGTTTAATATCATGCTTAATTGAAATATTGTCTTTTATCATGAAAGATACACATACTTATACTTAATACTACAAAGTATACAATATTTAAATAAAATGCCCTTTTAAAAAAGAAGATAAAAAAGGAGTTACGTATATGTATGTGCTCCTCTAAGAAAAAATTGTAAAAAATATAAGAAATATTTAAATTGCGTCAATTACAAAGAGAATATATTTTCCCCTTAAAACAAAAATAATTGTTGTATTACTTTTAATAAATAAAGCTCAAGTATGATACTTTGTATATTCATTCAAGATCTTTCCTCTCTATTTTAAGTGATATATTCTTTAATTCTTAAAGAAATAATATCAAATTTAACTGCAAATAGAACTCAAGAACACAGTATTTTTAATGCTTTAAATAAAACTTAAATAGTAGTATCTTTAATTTTTTTACAACACTTATAATCTAAGAGGTACTATTTGTGCTCCTATTTAAATCTTCATATTATCCAAGTGGTACGTATTTTTATTTAATAAAAAAAAAATAAAAGTACCATGTATCATTGTCTTCTCATTGAAGTATCTTCCAACTCAAATGTACATGTATACATAATGAAAGGAATATAATATTTAATCTCAAAGAATTTAAAGAGAAAACGGTACAAAATGAGAAAATATTAAAATAAATTTGTAAATGATACAATTTAAATATTTCGTATACTTTGTTAATTTTTCTTAAAGGGGTACACACGCGCGCGCGCGAACACACACACACACACACACACACACACACACACACACACACAGAGAGAGAGAGAGAGAGAGAGAGAGAGAGACGCGCGCGCGCGCACGCACAGAGAGCTTTTTTTATCATTTTTTAAAAAGATTTAAATAATACTTGGTCCGTTATCCGATTTATGAAAAGAATGATGTTATGAATTAAAAAAGCAGTAAGAATTTCGGACTCCTTGCCACAAGGAACGGAAATGACCGTAAGATGTTATCGATTTTATCAACGGGGGCTTCTAGGGGATTCTATCGGTGTAACAGGGTGAGTTAAAAAGAGCGAGATAAACATAGAAACAGCGAGTGCGAGTAAGAAAGAGAGAGAACGAGATGAAGAGAACGAAGTTCGTCGCAAGAGGCAATGATTGGCACTGCATTGCCCAGCCGAAGTCGAAAGAAACGGTCACTCACCTTCGGACAGCTCGAGGTCTAACTCGGCGAGCTTCTCCCGTACGTCCTCCGGCAGCTTGCCGATATCGATGTTATACTCGGCCATTGCTAGGCCATCCGTGCTGCGCCGTGATTGCAAATCCACCAGCGATGCATACCACAACCCATTACCACCGCTCGGCCATCTTGCCTGTCACTAAAGTACAAGTACGTCGTTGCACCGCCGACGGCGCCACCGAACGCGCATGCCCGCGCCCCAAGACCCAACCATCGACATATAGGGTGCAATCGTTTACCTTGGAGAGAAAGAAATAGATTTCTAAGCCTTAAATTGTAAGGAATGGACGAATCACAATATTTATTCTCCTCGCATTCGACTGTAGTTGGTCAATTGCTTACAGCTTAAAACTTGAAATACTATTGTAGATTCGGACTTACGCAGAGGTTATTACAGTGCAGAGAGTATCATTTAATCCTTGTTTAACGCTCGATGAACAACAAGGATAAAATAATATTTCTGCGCTAACCGCTGCGTAAACGAATGCAGGGTAGTATTAGACGGAGCATTAGCATCAAAATCATCTCGGTAGACCTAGAAACAGACAGAGTGACTACAGGGGTAGTAATGAATCATGTAATGAAGAGGTATTAAGTTGATACATCTGTGTTCAGAGTGTAAAGTCGGAATCAGACTATGCATTGAAAATTGAGATTAAAGATTAAAGATTGAAATTTCACCAATGAGAATAAAGAATTTTGACTCCTTTTGTTCTGATTGGTCAAACTTCAGTCTTTTAATCTTCAATCTCATTCTTCAATACGTAGTCTGATTCTGGCCTTATGGACTCCGCACAATAAAAGGAACAGGAAACAGAGAATAAAAAATAAGAATTTCAACCTATTAGAAATTGTATATTCCACAATATATGATTTCTGATAGGTTGAAATTCTTATTTTCTGTTCTCTGTTCCCTGTTCCTTTTATTGTGCGAGCCCCTTACTTTTGCACAAATATACATAGAAACCATACTTCAAGTTTTATTTTATATCTAATAATTAATAATATAAATTTAGAATTTGCTCCTGATGGAAATAAAAAGGCTCAATTCTCTTTTATGTTTCTCTCGAGATATTGCTCATATAACTTTTTCTCTAGAGCAGAAAAATAAACGTGAAAAATGAAAATTTTTATGTGTAATATTTGATTAAATATATATACAAAAATGTTCACTTTTCATATTTCACCCTAGGGAAAAAGTTACAGTTAAAGTTGATCGATATCTCGCGTGGGAGTTGATATTGGCTGGGTTCCAAAATCTACAGTTTACGTTAGATGTATTATACATTTTCAACACAGTGACTGACAGTGAATTTGAAACATAGCCTTAAAGGCACGTGACATAAACGATAGATTTTCGGCACTGCCAGTAAATTTGAAACATAGTCGAAATAAGACAAAATTATAAAGCAAATTATTCAGCAAATTCACTAAGGCTATGATCCACTTAATGCTACAAATGCTTCGATGCATGTTTTTATTGTTAGTTAATAAAATTATTTCTCCCGATCGGTCAATCAAAAGTTTCGAAGCATTTGTAGCGTCAAGTGGATATCACACTAAGTGTTAATTAATTAAATTATAATATTTTAGTAAATTTGTTGACTTATGTAATTTTTATACCTATCTAATTACGGATGTAGTCCATTTGGCGCTACAAATACTTCGAAGCATTTGATTGACCGATCGGAAGAAATAATTTTATTAACTGACAATAAAAAAATGCATCGATCGGAAGAAAGAATTTTATTAATTGAGCAATCAAAAAATGTTTCGAAGCATTTATAGCATCAAGTGGACCGTAGTCTTCAAGAGGTTTGTTCACGTCGCATTCCAATAAGCTCCAACATGCTCCAATATGTTCCTATCATAACTTCTACTCACTCCAATGCATTCATTAGAGTGAGTAGGAATTATATAACAGAAGCATGTTAAAACATATTGAAGTATACGATGCGTACAAACCTATTTTTAATGGCTCCAGTACACCAACGTGATGTTGGTATCCAACGAGTATATCTTTAGAATGAAAACATCGGTAAAGCTGTACACTCATTGAATATCGCATGTCGCGCGCGACGAACATCGCGCTAATGTGCCGGAGGCACATTGTGAGTAAAAGCTATAATAGGAGCACATTGAAGCATGCAATGTGAACAAACCTAATATATAGGAAGCGTTTAGATCTGGTTTAGGTTTACACAATAGGGCTGCAAGCAATAAGCCGTAAGAAATTGACTAATCACAATCGAATATATCGAGAAAAATAATCGACTTTGACTAGTTAATTTCTTGTGCCTTGCGACCTTATTGTGTAAAGTATATTTTACAATAGAGCCGTAAGCGGTAGGCCATAAGAAATTAACCAATCATAAGTGATTATTCTTCTTGTACTTAACTGTGATTGGCCAACTTTTTACGATTTATAACTTGCGACCCTATTGTAGAACAGACATAACAGACTTTAGGGCCGCACACAAAATTCCATAACAGTATGCGTAAGGTGTAATTTAAGCCGATGAACCAATCAGGATACTGCTTTAGATTACGTAATCTAACGGAAATGGAAATAATAGTAAACTTATCCATATTCTCGCAATAAGGTGAATTTCAATCGGTTGAAACTCATCTTATGGATAAGTTTACTGCTATTTCTATTTCCGTTAAAGTGCATAGATTTAAAGCAATATTCTGATTAGCTCATCAGCTTAAGTTCACATCTTTAGGTTACTGTTAAGGTTTAAATACAATAGGCACAGGCAATAGGCATAGGGAATAACAAGCCGTCCAATCAGATCTCTGGTATGTAAATTCGATATTATATCCCAGAGCTCTGATTGGACAACTTGTTATTCCCTGTTATTCCATATTGCCTATTGCCTGTGCTTATTGTGTTTAAACCTTTACAGAAATTTTGTCTGCGGCAGCCCTTACCCCGGATCTACAACAGGTGTTTTAAGCCTTAAGCCATAAGAAATTGACCAACTACAGTCGAATGCGAGATGAAAATAGATCAGAAGAAGTTATTTAAAATAATAAATTTTAGAATAAGTGAAAGTAATTAAGGTTGTGAACCCTTTTAGCTTAAAGCTTAAAAATTTATTGTAGATCCGGGGTTAGAGCTATAAGGCATAAGTCATAAAAAAAATGGCAATCACAGTTAAATATGATAAAAATAATCGACTGTGATTGATTAATTTACGCTTACTTCTTGCCTTTTGTTAGCACATTAGTAATTAAGTAATTGATACAAAATATTTGAAATTATAAAATAAATGTCAAATGTTCTTCGGTGTATATACCACAATATAATTACAGTATAATTACACATTAAATGACTTGCCTCGTAAAAACTAAACTGCTGAGTTCTGAAACAAATCAATATAAAAAATTATTTCATTAATTATTTCCGCGACGAAACATTAATTGGATTTTATTTTGTTTCACATAATATTATTTCACACAATATAAAGTTAAATTATCAATATACTAATAATATGTAGAGCTCGGTTGTATTTAAAAAAGAAAGATATTTAAAAAATGTATATATTTTTTTTAATGAAAAAAATGAAACTTATTTAAAATTTATTATTTTAAATAACTTCTTCTAATCTATTTTTTAATTATATTTTAATCCTATAGCTATATGCACTTTTTTTACCCTTGATATACACATATTCGGATCTTTGAGACTTCTATATTTGTTATTATTTTCTATATTTGTTATTATAACTTCCGTAAAAATGGACATTTTTCAATTAATTTTTTTTCAATCGATTGATTAAAATAAGTCCATGATGTATAAAGTAGATAGAATTAAGGAGCTTTGAGATATATAGGTTCAAAGAAAAAGAAAAATTCAACAATACGAAAAAATTTCGATTTCGCAAATTGTACTGAAGTTTTCCGGGTTTTTGAGATCCCAGTGTGTATAACTAAGGTTAAATAAATTTTTTCGGAACTTATTTTATATCCTTATTTGAAATAAGTCGTATCAATCAGGGATCGATCGTATGAAAAATTTTATTTAATCGTATTAACAATTTTTTTAAAAATATGTATTTTAAATTAAAAAAGTGAAGCAGCGATTCCGTATTTATTTAAAAAAAAACTTTTTTTGACTTATTTCTTATTAGGATTGCACTCACGTTTCTTTGACTTTAAGCAAGACTTAAAACTTTCTCTGTCTCGTTTTAAAGCGTAAGAGAGACAGATACAGAGAGGGACAGAAACCAAGTTGAAAATCGATCGAAATGTGTAAGTAAATTCCAAAACTATCTTACAGACATCGTCTATAAATAAAAAATTCAGCCCTTTTATCTGTTCTGAAATTTATTTCGCAATGTTGACAAAGTCATCGTTGCAGACGTGTATTTGAAATTCATTTCTAAAAGTTAACTGATAATTATATAGCAATATAGATAACCAAGACAGCAAAATGTCTGTAGTCTTCTAGCAGATTGTCAGCAGGCTCGAGCAGAAAATGATGACAGCCTGCCATCAATTGCGTCCGCATTATGCTTGTATTCTATTAACATCATTTGTATAATGTGAAGGCAAATTGTTGGCAGAAACTGAGCAGATCCTGCCGACATTATCTGACGTTTGCAGATTCTATTATTTTTTTCTGTCTGTCAACAGTATTATATACATCTAATTCTGTTGGTTATTTTGTTGGTATAGTGTGTAGCACATTTAAAAAATCTGCTTTCTATAGACTATTTGGCTATTTGGCTATCTGGATATAGTATATGTATATTACATATACTATATCCAGTATATTACATTTTTCAGATGATATCTTCCCTTTCACAAGTACGACCTTGATGTAATAGGAGAATCGAAGTACTCGGAGGATATATACGAAAAGAATAATTTTCCTCTATCAAGTATCTATAAATTTTCGGATGTACCTGAATATATATGTCTAGATAAATTTTTAGATACTTGAGTATCCAAAATCATTTTCTCTTCCAGTAAAAATTCAACGACAGGGAAGCTAATTGAAAGTGCAAATCTTCGCGTCGCGCGTTTGCTTCGGGAGTGCCGTTAAAGTTATCGGTCTAATGGACATTTCATAAAATCCATTCAATAGAATTCTAATTATAATTAATTATAATTAGTCCGC